TTTTTTAAATGATTTTTTTGGGGTTGTACAATGATTTTTCGAAGTGACCCCCCCCCCTCGACGCGCATCATATTGGCGTATTAATGTAGTCTCGACAGCAAATAAGTCAATAATGCCGTACGTCTTGGCACCTCTGTAGTTATACTGAACCGCACGCAGAAGTGCAGGTGGGCTTGCCTATCGCCCCTATCCACGGCGGCGCGGGCGGCGCCTTACGGGGCGAGAGAGTGAGTAGGCAACCCGTCCGCACCGCACATAGGAATGGGGTTCCGATCTAAAGAAGTGTGCGGGGTTGGTCAGCCACCTGGTACAGCCCAAATTTACAAAAGCCGTGGAGTTCGATCTCGAAATAAACGGAGTAAACCCTAGAGCGGTTATTTGGTGTTTCACACTCCCTCTCCTCCTCTGGTGGCTTCTAATGAATAAAAGGATGTGATGGCATACTCTCGAGTACTCCAGATCTCGCACTCTGCTCTGCTGTCCTAGACGAAGCGTGTTACGGAGACGGAATTCCGGCCGTGAGTAATGTGATATGTCGATTTGTCCCCGCGTTTCAAATCGTAGATTGAAACAATGGAGTTTACTCTCTGACAATAGCACTGTGTAATGCCTGTGGAACGCCTGCAACGCCTGCCGCCTTGAGCTCGAAAGGCGGCCAATAAATAAGGCCAACCAAGGAAGGTCCCAATCATCCACATCCAAATCACAAAGTTTTAGAGCCACCCGATTTTTGAGCCATGTCTACATTACGAGGGTTTCGACACTGCCGGGAGGTGAGTAGCGAGACAACCGTTTTGGTTGAACAAATTTGTTCATTCTAGTGTGTCAGGCGAAGTGGCTTTTCTATCCTATCCATTATGTAAATAATAGTCGAAATTATTTTCATTAAATCATACTGGGCTAGCAAGTATCTTGCATCTTGTGATAAATTATTTTGGAATCATGTCTTCTGTGCTGATAAAATTTGCTTTCAAGCAAAACAAATTTGCTTGAAAATACATGAGTATTTGAGAAGGTTTGGATAATACTTTTAGCTAATGGTCGTTTTTCAGAGATACTTCGATACTAATCAGATAACACATCTATCGAATAAAGGGAATCATGCATTGTCAAACACACAAATTGGATTGAATGGAGGGAGTAAGGAAATCTCCAAATGAAAGTAGTCTTCCACTGATATGCTACTCTAAATTCCCAGTAGCAAAAAATTGTCACAAATCCTGACATTTACATCAATTATTTGTCACAATACACTATATCTTGTCACTGAGACGTCTTTACTTCCATTAATATTGGAAAAAAATTGATATTGCTGTGATATCCCAGTGATGTCAAATTTTTGTCAACCTCAAATATAGAAGAAAACATGTCACAGTGACACATCACACGATGAATTGCCATTGTGAATCAGAAGTTTGTCAATATTAATGAAAGGGAAGACATCACAGTGACAAGTTAAATTGAGACGAATAATCGATGTCAACGTGAGAATTTGAAACAAATCTCTTCTACTGGGAATACCACCACCACCACCACAATCAGATTAGCAAGAGTAAAACTAACACACAGAATGAAAACTAGGTGCTGAATACGAACTGAATTGTCATAAATCGAAAATACTCTAGTCTCTCACACAATGTGGCAAATAAAACTCAGTTCAATTGCTTTTAGTAAAAACAAAGCACCAAATATGTTAGCACTCAAATTAAAAAAAAAAGAAATCACACCATACACCAATACAACTACAACAAGAAACAATACTAAGATAGGCGTTGTTTTGTTAATTATAGAGGTGTGATCATGTAGATAGAGCGGAAGCCTGATGAAAATTACTCCGGAAATTCTTATTAGATTTAGATTCAAACTGTTGTAAGTACTAACTTTTTGAACAAAAATGCCTCTTAGAACCCAACACCCTGCAACATTAATTCCATACCATTTTTTCACACCCCTACACCCAGTTTATAAAAATAAAATGATCAATCTTTCTCTCACACACCTGCCTGGCTGTGAGTGCAAAGAAATCCACTAGCCTTGTGAAAGCGATGCAACATGTTTCTACGGTCTTGCACCTCATGGCACCAAATGACACCTTCCACCATACCATACTTGCCACGAGCTAGGTACCTGCACGAGGCTCTACAGGAAATGTGAAATGTGCACAGAGTTCCAAAATTTGGAGCTGTTTGTCACTTATGTACATTACATTCACTTGTTTAAGAAAATTATAACGAAAATGTTGTGACATAGCAAGCTCAAGCCACTTGTGAGACTTGAAAGAATGATATTTTGATTCAAAACTGTGAAAAGTGAATTCAAGCATGGTGCCTCATATTTGAAGTTAAGGAGGACTGGTTTAATTTACCCACTTCTGAAGAATGCACTTTTATTCCAAAACACCATTCAGCAAGTCTAGGTTGCAAAGGAACCCAAGAGTTATAACACATGACCTTTAGATATTTTGTACAATATAAATTTGGGCATTCCATGGAATATTTGAAACACACAGTCGAAATGATCAGAATGGGTGGGTCAAATAGTCATAAGAGTTAAAAGAAAGTAGATGAAACTGAGAGGACAAAAGAGGAAGTGTCAAAGTAGGGATTACCAACCTCGATGTTTGATCAATTAACAGAACTTCAATGAAAATTTATAAAATCTCTACAGGGAAGAGCAAATTTACACAAGTCCATCAACATTGAGTATTTGAATTCAACAATATTCAAAAGAACATCAGACAAAAAGGAGGAAATATGACTGATAGTGTTCACAAAATTGCAGAATTTAAAGAAAATTGATCATAGATGAGGTTGTGGCACTTGAGGTATTTGGTAACATATCCAAATCAACCTATGCCAAGATGCTATGATGACATTTAATGAACCAAACACTACTCAACAATATATATATTTACTGTATTTATATATATATATACGTATGTGCATGTTAGATATTAACTTATAAGAATTTATTCACGGCTCTTAGTCACATCAAGACAAGCTTTGACTTTACAGATTTGCAAGTACATATTTCTGACTATGGAAAAGCACTTTGTGCATACAATTTAGCCATCAAATAAGCTTATCTTGAGGTGACTAGGAGTGCAGGTGAATTAGTCACACAAGGAGAAAGCCAGAATTCTGCCAAACCAAACTAGAACACTCAATTGTTGGGGTTGATAAACAGATATGAAAATGCAGATTAGTACATAAGGGGGTGCAGGCATTTCATTGAAAAATAGTGAAAATAAAGACACACACCCCTTAGTGTAGTAAGAAAGATGAAGAAATCAAGATAATGAAAGAAAGACAAATAACCAATCTGCAACCTCATTCCTGGATATAAACAGAGTAAGCTTTTGTTACTTACAGCACCAGCAGCCACCTTAAACCCCAGGCTAGGCCAAACAAGCAAGTAGGAAATAAATGTAATAAATATTACCATCAAGCATTTCTACTCAAACTACATTTATTTTGAAACCATCTACATGTGCATAATTTTCCTCAGCTAGATGGCAAATGTCCGAGCCATCCAGCACCAGCCTATTTCTACACACATAACTACAAAAGAACATCTAACTCTAAAGTAACTATTTATCAGGTGTAATTTATCTCTACAACCTTAAAATCCAACAAACCACCAAATATTGGAGCTAAACTAAAAACAGTCATGGGAGAAGGCCGAATGGCAAATTGATAAGACAAAACATTGTCTGCACCAACTTCAGAATAATCATTACCGGTGCAAGTTAACACCACAAGAGCATTAAAGAAATAAGACAAACTTTATTCGCTTATCTTGAATTAAATACAAAAATAGAGGGTTTTCACATCTGCGATCTTTTTCAAACACTTATTGCTGTTCAATATTGTTTATAGTATATTGTCACCCACATACAAATGGGAAAATGAACAAGGAAAATGAATACAGAGACAATAACCCAAGGGTACAATGATTCAAACTTTAAAGCTTTCAGTGTAAAGTTTTTGTTTTCAGAGTGTGGCATAATACGGGTGGTTGGGAACTGATTACCACATCACTCATGGAAATTCTCTGCTAAAACCCTCTTTGGAATTAATATACATTCACACTATAGTGTGTTAAGTACAAGAAAAAGCATCTTACCTTAAGCCTAGCACACTTGAAATAATATAAAGCAGAAAGTTTGTTTCGCCTCTCCTATCCATTTTCCATCCACTCAAATAGCTCTATCAAGAAGTTTCAATAAATAGATTCAAAGTTTGAAGGTTTTGCAGAGAATGGTGCTAGCACTACTATTGGTATCAGAAAGAGTATTGTATCATTATGTCTTCCTAATACTTCAATGACCTTCTTTGACTTATATACCTAATACAAAATGACTATCAATGAATAACAATTGATCTGAAGTAGTTCAGAAAAGAGATGCCTGCACACATATCCATCAAAATTGGGTGCAAGACAAATGCACAAGTAGGTATAATGAAGAGATAGCAAAGCTAAGGAAAACACCTCAAACTATTTAATAAAATAGTCTGCCCATTAGTGTTTAAGGGCTAAAAGAAGAGAACACTGGTATTGGTCATAAACATCCAACACAAAAACAGAGGATCATGACCTAATAATTACATACATCAGCAATTTCACTGGGGAAAAAATCTCACAAAGATTGCTGAGTGGGAAAAGAAATAAATTAAGTAACTAGCCAGCATACCTCTTTAGTAGAGGGTTTTAAAAGGAAAAAAAAAAGAAATAAATAAGAACACTTGCCAATTTGTACTTCTTTAACTTTTAAAACAAAATAAAATACTTATGATCACAGCTTACGTGGATTTTTTTAAATCTTTACAGATAAGGATTGAACTCCAATGCTCATGTCCACATATTGGAGATAAATATCATGCGGAGAACTAATCTAATCATAAATAGTAACAAAACAAATGGTCTTGGTTGAACCGCAGGTAAAACCATATAAATAATTGAACACAACCCTAAAGACAAAATAAACAAAAGGGGAGGAGAGCAAAAATGACCAGCAAATTATGACCAATCATGAATATTAATTAAGAACATGTTCAAATAGAATTGTTTCATAAACAAGTCAAAATGGCCTGATGAGGAGCCTTTTCAAACTATAGGCGTCTTTCCCCTCCCCCTTTATGACTGCTATGGAATGTCATTAACCAGAGATTTTTTTTTTCTACTCGAGAGGGAACATAATGAAAACTGGATCCCTTAAAATATGCTGTAACCATAGTTGAAATATCCTGAATGTGACGCCACTGAGAAAAACATCAAGTGTCTGTTGTTGTCAGTCTTAGCAGGGGCAGTACAGAGGGATTGGGTAGCCTCATAAGGCTAATGACTAGACAACAAGCCCCTCTGTACATCCCATTGAATAAACACTAGGATACTGTACGATTACTAACGGAACTTGACACCTAGGTATGCTATCTTTGAGATCCAAGAAACATTTTCTTGATAATACTCTCATAACAATGCTCACTAATCATTTTCATATGGCACCCAATTTACACACAACAATTAACCATGACATGAAATATTAGATGAAAAAGCACAGCAGTATCTTGAAAAAATTTTGAAGGCTTAAAATTCGGCACAATATACAACATATTGTTATTTTGGAAAGAGTTCACAGACAAACACTGGGAGCAGCATTGAAGCTTTGTCAACTTTTAACTGCGTTTGCTTTCTTCAAAGCAACAGACTGACAGAACAATATATACTCAAATGGGGAATCAATACATAGAGAAAAAGTTAGCCATAGATAAACAGGTATCACTTTCAAAAACTGAAAAGTTAAGAAAAGACTCAGAAGAAAATATGAATTTAAATTTGCTTTTTCTAAAGAATATTCCTTATGCTTAAATTTACAGGTTTACAATGGGTATTTTTCCTACGCAATGAGAAATATATCCTTACTTAGAGGAAAAACTAACTGTATGAAATGTAAGGAAACAAAAACGAAAGGGGATGAAAAAAAACTTCAAAAACTTGGAAGATGCAAGTACCATTACGTGATAATACTGGTTATTGCCAATTATTGCTTCCCCCAACCCTTCCCTTCCCCATCCTCTCTACGTGATCTCCTACACGTACATGCCCATACCATACATTGAGCTCCAGTCTACACCCTGGAAGCTTGACATGTCCACATTTGTGAGTGAGTAGCCTTGGTAAGGGTTGGCAGGGGCGGGTACAGGTGGGGCGGCTGGGGTAGCAGCCTGGGTGGGGTTCGCTGAAGGCATCGCCTGCAGGGGGTAGGGTGAATAACGGTACGACGCCAAGGGGTAGGCGCTGAACAGCTTGCCGTAGCCGGCCTGGGCCTGCGCCTGAGCGGCCAGCTGGTTCGCCGCCACCTGCGCATGAGCCGCGGCTTGAGCCTGCACAGCAGCCAGCTGGGTGGCAGCTGTAGGTGCAGCCGTGGGGCCAACCCGCATCAACATCCTCTTGCCTAAGAGCAGGCCGTTGACGCCCAGGTTGGCAGCAGCCACTGACTCCTTCGGCTGAGCCTTTTTACACTCGACCTTCTTATTCTTGATGGTGTGGAAGTGGATTTCACATACCCGGTCCACCACGTCCTCCTGCTCAAATGTCACGAAGCCGAAGCCACGGTGTCGCTTTGTATGCTGGTCCATTAGCATAACTGTTTCCTCCACCTGGAAGCAGAGCGATGAACAACATTAACATGGAGTGAAACAAAGTCAAGAGCAAAAATAAACAAATGCATTTGTAGTGCAGTTAAAATAAGACCTATAGAATACCTTTCCAAATTGGTTGAAGTATGCTTTCACTTCCTCGGTTGTTGTGTCTTGACTAACTCCTCCAACAAAGATTTTCTTGGTACGATTGGCAACTCGTCCTCTGTTTTTAGGAGTTGCATGTTTGGGGTCAATCTTCTTCCCATCGAGGGTATGCACTGGAACCTTTAGGACCTTCTCAACTGTGTCGGCATCTTGAAATGTGATAAATCCAAAGCCACGATTTCTCTGAAAAAGGAAAAGGAACATTTATAAAAGACTGAAAATAAAGTGACATTAAGAATAAAACGCCAACATTAAGCAGAACAAATCAAGAGAAACTTGGGAAATTTCAGTGAAGAACTGCTCTGAAGTTGTAAGTAGTGAACTACAACATTCTGCAGTTCTTAGTGAACATGTTTTTTTTTTTTTAGCAGTAGTACCTGCGAAACGTTTTAGTTTGCCGCTTACAACTGTACAACAGTTCTCCACTTCAGATTGGAGAGCATGTGATTCACATGTCAGAAAAGAAAATAGTGTTTGTATAGGGAGAGAACTTTAACACGTCACACTCTGTAAAAAGTCGTGGCTGTTCCAATGAACTTCAAATGCAAAGAGAGTCGATGAAAAATTCAGCAAAAATAGTGCTGCGTTGCTGCGTTTTGAGAGACAAACCTGTGTCATGGGGTCCTTCATGATAAGAACGTCTGTGACGGTGCCGAACATTCCAAAGTATTCCTTTAGCCTCTCCGACGAGGTC